TTGAATTCTCGGGGATTCCCTCTCCCAGACAATCTATTTACAGAGCTTTCATCCTGATATGCTTGCACAAACCTTACCTGGGGGTTAGATTATATCGAGTCTTTATTAAGCTTTCGTTCTGATTGCTTGTGATGTGTGCATTGGCTCTGAGTACCCTGAGGAATGAAATGTTTCAGGTGTTTCACTTAGGTCACCATTTCATGTTCCTGAGCTGGGATGCACTGTTAACAAGGCACCTTGAAGGTGGTTCAGTAATCCCCTAAGACCTTTGAGTCACACTGTGGCTGCTATAAAGTGAAACACATGACCTCCCTCCCCTTTTCTTTTCCAGGGAAGGAAACCAAACTGATGGGAGGAACACTCAGAGCCTGAGAGGGGAGCGAGGGGAGATCTCAGCAGATTATTTTTGAAGCCCATTCTGATCACACTGGTTTGTGGAAGGGATTTCGAAGTAAGCAAACACCCTTGATCTTGGCGGTGAGAGCAGGAGAGAAACGGCAGAGGGAGGCTGTTGGAGGTACTTTTTGACAAGAAGTTTAAAATATCATTTCAGCTCACCTTTATCCTATAGGCTGAAAGGTGAGGTACAAATAAATCTAGATATTGGTAGTAATATAAATAACCCCTCTTTCTCAGTTTTCAGAGTGGAGAATTGGTAAGCAAACCCCTGGCTAGGGATGGATGAGAAATTCAACCCAGTACACGTTCAAAGAAAAAACCATCAAATTGTGGTCTAAACCACAGAGCCTAGGGTTTGCCGATCAGAAGGTCGGCAGTTCGAATCCCCGCGACAGGGTTTCTGCACTTGCTGTGGAAGGATGTGAGGGTCAGATGGGGCTGCTAAGAGAAGGAAAACTCTAATCCTAAACCTCTGCTGCCTTGTGAGATATCTTTGGGAGAAGAAAACGCTATGGAGTAAATGTAAACCCTACACAAATCCAGAGTAGAGTCCATAAGACAGTTGGATGGAATCTGGTACCCTTCTTTCTGACAACTCCTGCAGCCAGGCTGGTGCCAAAATTATTGCTCTTTCTTTTGGATCACACCACTGAGGCCATGAGGGGGATCTTGTCATCTGGGCAGCCCAGGACGTCCATACATTATGCCCAGGCTTGTGCCCTGGAAAGGAGGCAGCAGTTATGAATTATTGGTCTCTGCAGCCACAGCAGGTGTTGTGATTCTCCAGCACTTCGACTACATCTCCAGAGGCACACTCCATTGTCTCCTGACACTGATGGGTGCCCACAATTATTTGGCTGGCCGTTGCTGGAAATAATATACTAGGCTTGAATGGCCTTTGCTGCGATCCAGCGGGACCCTGCTTATGATGAGACATGAGAACCAGCATCCGAGATGATGTAATTCTTAGGTTGAAGAAACAGCCGGCATTTTAAGTTTCAATTACAGTCACAATTTGACAAAGACAAAGTAATAGCCCTTTTCCTCTGGGGCAGTGATTTATATCAATTTGGCCTAACCTTCATGTATTTCCTTTATTGGTTCCAACAAACTGCCAAGTTCCAGTTCAATAAGGCCCGCTGAAGTCTGATGCCCCGCTGATGAGGAAAGAGGAAAGATAAAGGTGGAAGACACCACGAGCCGAGCACGTTGACAGATGAACCGAGGGGAAGCAGGCTCTTTTGGTGAAGCTAGAAAGTTCCCATTTTGACTCATCAGCTTCAAAATCTCTGGGATTGGATCAAACCGCTGCTTCTTCCTGCAAGCCAAGTTAGTTAGAGCTTTTCCTGAACTCAATATTGACTTTTCTGGTTAGCTTGTCTCGTTCTCTCAAAGAGAACTACAGATTTATGGGCAGGCCAGCCATGAATTATGGCACAGGAAGATGTCCCAGTGACAGAGTTTGTGTTTCTCTCTCTGAAGATTTCCTTTGTAACTAGGGAACACTGATGTGGGGTGTGATATCCTGGGTATTTTAGGCGTGTTTCTAGCTCCCGCAGTTGTGGAAACGACGTCTGAGCCAAATACCTCCTCATTCCCCTGGAGCATTCATCCCTTGCAAAGGGTTGTGGAGGAGGAAGGAGAACCTTTTTCAGTCTGAGGGCCTCATTCCTACCTGGGAAACCTTCCAGGGGCCACATGCCAGTGGAGGGTTGGGGCCAGAGGCAAAAATTGGGCAGAGCAAGAAATGTAAATTTTACCTTTGTACTGGAGACTAATTTCTACAGACACTCACAGACCTCTCTCTGTTCTCCACCCAGGCAAGAAAGAAGCGTGATCCAAGTTCAAGGCCATATTCCAGCCAGGGAAAAAACAGTCAAAGAGAGGGTGGGGCAGGCCTGATGTCAGGAACTGGCTGGATGAGGAAGAGTGGTGGGAAGACACAGAAGATGACTTAGACCCTAGATTGTGGTGGTGGGACACTGGAGAGCAGCCTGGGGAAGGGATGAGCTGGGAGATGCAAGATGCAGGAGGGTTGTGTGATCAAGTATGTGACCTGGTGTGCAGCACTCTTTGCAACTGCCGCTAGGAAAATTAGAGCAAATTATATAGCCAAGGTAGTCACCAACTGTAAAGGAGATGAATTTATTTGACCCTATCTACATCAAGCTATAGGTAAAAGTAAAGGGACCCCTGACCATTAGGTCCAGTCGTGGCCGACTCTGGGGTTGCGGCGCTCATCTCGCTTTACTGGCCGAGGGAGCCGGCATACAGCTTCCAGGTCATGTGGCCAGCATGACTAAGCCTCTTCTGCTGAACCAGAGCAGCACATGGAAACTTCGTTTACCTTCCCACCGGAGTGATACCTATTTATCTACTTGCACTTTGATGTGCTTTCGAACTGCTAGGTTGGCAGGAGCAGGGACCGAGCAACGGGAGCTCACCCTGTCACGGGGATTCGAACCGCGACCTTCTGATCGGAAAGTCCTAGACTCTGTGGTTTAACCCACAGCGCCACCCGTGTCCCACACCAAGCTATACTCTATCTTTATTACCAAACTCCGAATATAATTGCATACTGTATTAATTAACATTGTTATTTAATATATTAGTGGTCAGGTGATAATTTTAGCCTATAAATTTTATTGTTTAATGTCTTAACCTGTATATTAAGGTACTTTTATAGCTCTGCTTAGAGTAGGTAATGTCTTGATAATATAATTTTTTAAAGGTTTTTTGTATCAATTCAGTATATTTTCTTTTAATTGTTGAATGATTCTGTGTAAATTGTGGCAGCCTTGGGCTATGTGCAATAAAGCTGACTGACTGACGGACTGATCAAGGAGGGTCAGAAGAAGGAGGCCTTTCCAGGTCAGGGCTGGAGTCTCAGTGTCGGCTTAGACTTGGACAGAGACGAGTCAGAGATTTTCCACCCAGCATCTGGACAGTCCCAGTCCTGCTGGCTCGCCTCCCCCTGACACCCCGCTTGAAGAGAGTCCTACGCGTTGGTGAGCAATGGACCAAGCAGGCTTGAAGGAGGAGCCCAGCACCTCGCCACAGTCTCTGTCTGCTTGGGAGGGATTCAGAGTGAGAGGCTAAAGGGGGGAGGCAGGGCCAATGGTCAGTTTCCGCAACCTCTCAGGCTGAATGAGTCGAGCCAGAATAACTCTACTGTGTTGTTACTTTCTGTGAATAAAAGCTAACTGAGGCCCCAAATGCAAGGCCTTCATGCTCCCTCCCTTATCATTGCTATTAACCGTTTGTCCTTGTTTCCATCTTTTTAAGCTATGTATGATATAATCAGGACACAGGTGGCACTTCGGGCCTAGGACTTGCCGATCAGAAGGTCGGCGGTTCGATTCCCTGCGACGGGGTGAGCTCCCATTGCTCGGTCCCAGCTCTTGCCAACCTAGCAGTTCAAAAGCACATCAAAGTGCAAGTAGATAAATAGGTACCGCTCCGGCGGGAAGGTAAACCGCGTTTCCGTGTGCTGCTCTGGTTTCGCCAGAAGTGGCTTAGTCATGCTGGCCACATGACCCGGAAGCTGTACACCAGCTCCCTCGGCCAATAAAGCGAGATGAGCGCCACGACTGGACCTAATGGTCGGGGTCCCTTTATGATATAATCACCTTTTAACTACTAGTTTTTATCCCTTACCTGTTTTAAGTCTTATGTGTTCTGTTTAGCTGTGTGCTGGTCTGTGACCGAAATAAAGTTTGCTACTGATACTGATAGCTAATTGCATTTCGTGCCTCATGTTCTTTCCTCCCCTGTGGATGACCTGCGCTTGCCTGACAGCTCCTTGACACCTAGCGACGGGGAGCGGTGTGGGGACTTTCTTGGGGGTCAGATAGAGACCTGGAGGGCTGCATTTGGTGCCTCAGCCTGAGCTTCCCCACTCTTCCTCCAGAAGAATATAGGGTACCTCCGGGGGAAACATCAATAGGGAGGCCAGTCTGGAGACCTGCAAAGAGAAATCGAACCAAAGCCATCTATATATTTATCTATATATTTGTGTAGTGGAGAAACTGGATGCAGATTGCATTTAAAGGCAGACCTACCTAATTCACATTTTCCGAAACGCATACATAAACTGAAAAAAACAGCACCCTTCAAAATTCGCATTTCTCTGAATTTTGCAGCACTGTTCTCCTGCCAGGTAATATTTACATAAATGCATATACTAGGGGAAATTGTGATTCAAAATGCATATACTGGCAGAACTAACATGTAAAAATGTATTGTGCTAGCAGAAAATTGCTCTGCAAAGTTGTGTATATTAGGCCAAATTGCAAGCTGTGTGTGTGTGTGTGTGTATGTGTGTGTGTAGAAATGACACTGAAATGCTGATGAATTTTCACGAGAGCTTCTACAGTGGTACCTTGGGTTATGAACATAATTCATTCCGGAAGTCCATTCTTAACCCAAAGCATTCTTAACCCAAGGCGGGCATTCCCTACATAGGCCTCTCGCGGCCCCGGAAGTGGATTGCATTCGTATCCCAGGGCAAAGTTTGCAACCTGGGACACCTACTTCCGAGTTTGTGGAGTTCATAACCTGAAGCGTTCATAAGCAGGACTGTTCGTAACCTGAAGTACCACTGTGTGTATGTGTGTGTGTGTTCATATATATATATATATATATATATATATATATATATACACACACACAATTTCAAATTTATGTAGAAATGTGGGGTGGATGACTCTCAATTTACACACACACACGGATATGTACAAATTATATATCCAGTTAAAAACTCTCCCCCCTTCCCATTGCATTCCAACAGCTTCAATCCGTGTCTATTTAATGAAAGATCACAGAGAAAATGTCAGTGGGAAGTTTGGGGAATGGGCTCCATCCATCAAGCCAAGTCATGGTTATTCCATAAGCAACATTAAATGTTCAGCAGTCGGGTTTTTAATTCATCACTTGCGTTAACTGTAAATGCCTCATTTACAAGAATCCATGCCAAAGGTTGCTGGGCACTGATAAATGTAGCCCATTCATAAAGCAACTAGGAGCTAAATGAGATAACAGCCAGGTGAGTTTTCAAAGCTGGTTCAGAAAGAATATGTGTAAGTTGAGGCCATATTGGTGGAGCCCTGAACTCTTTGAACCTTTCATTTCACATGGTCACCTAATGATGGGTGAGCTTTCCAATTTTATTTTCTCTCAATTTCTTGTTTTTCTCATTTTCTCAATCTTAATTTCAGCTTGCCACATTTCTGCATAAGTTTGCAATCAATCAATAAAAAATAAAATAAGCTTTCGCAAAGATATGGCAGAATTTCTTGAGAATTTCTACACACATTCTGGCATGCAATTTTCACCATACAGAATACATTCGTTTATGGCAATTTCACTAATATATGCCTTGTATGAATGCTTTCTCCTGATGTCCACATTTTTTTATACACGTTGCTTGGCTGGAGCACTGCGTTGAAAAATCTGGAGAACTGTAAATGTCAAGGAATTTGAAGGGATGGCTACTTGTCAGTTTCGCAAATTGTTTCAGGGTGTGTGAATTGGATAGACTTGCAATAAAAGGTGAAGCAAGCTGAATTTTCTCCTTCATCCTATGAAGCACTTAACAATGTATGCCATTATGATGCGAGGGGCTCTATAATGTTTTCCCACCCCTGCTGGACCCAACTGGATAATGTGAGAATTTCTGCTCCGTGATTGCAGTCATGGGATTGTTGTCTATCACATGACAGTATAGGTTTTGACTCCAAAGAGTGGGAAGTGACGGAAACAGGATGTTTGTGTTACTGTGTTCCGTGAAGTGGGACTATTGTCCCTTTTTTTCTTCTCTTTGTTGTCTGATGCTAGAGAGAGAGGGAGCCATGTTGCAGTGCTCCGTGTGTGTTTATATGTAAATAAAGTAGATTAGCCAAAATGCTGAGCTACTGAGTTCTGTTATGCAAGCTGCGCAAACTCTGCGGATCCCTAAGTGTGCTGATGTATGTTGGCATTGGTTGCTGTGATGTTTGAGTGAAGAAAGCTTTTGAAGCTCCCAAACGAATGACCAGGAGGGAGAGAACATGCCAGTCGGGCAAGTGTCTCTGCCAGGATCCTACTCGAGTGTAGGATGAGCTCCTGACAGATAATCAGGTGGCTGGGGCTCAATGTGATGGGGAAGCAATGCCCCCAACCTGCAGTATATACATTTAAAGCTGTATCATACGATTTTATACAGTCTTGGCTTTCCACATAGAATCTCAGTTGTTAAGAGAGCCCAAATCCCCTCACAGGGAACTCTGGGAACTGTAGTTCTGTGATGGGAATAGCCCCCTTAACAAACTACACTTCCCAGGATGCTCTGGGAGAAGCCTAGCTGCAGGAAAGACATTGCGTTGGATCCTTAAGAAGGATCCATTGGCGGAAATGACTGGCAGAATCCGAGACCAGGGAGAAGAGTCGGTGGAAGAAGATTGGAAGAAATTTAAAGACTATTTACTGAAATACTGCAAAATTAATGAATGCTAGAATGATGTCAGAATGAAGTTAAGTGGTTTTAGCAGCAATGTTATAAAGGTGTATGTAAAAATGGATTGTTAATAGGTGAGAATCTAAAGCTGTAATTTATTAAGTTAAAAGATTAAGACAAAAACAAAGAGGGAAAGGAATTGCTGAATTAACCAATTGAACTGGAATACAAAAAAGGGAGGTGAGAGGAGGTCAGGGAAACAAGGAAATGAAATGTAAGGTATGGAAAGATTGATTTGTTTTTAAGTGCTTTTTATCTTTTTTCTGTATTTTGTATTTTTTCTCTTTTTTATTTTTTATTTTGTTTCTTTTCTTTTTATCTATGTAATCTATTGTTTTTGAAACCTTAATAAATATATATATATATATATTTTAAAAAAGGTAGGGGCATCCAGTAACATCCCATCGGAATCTTAGAGGACAACAGCTTTTGTCCAGAAGCCCAGCTCAGAGTGTGATGGGCCACATTGATACATACTTGTGGTCAGCTGGGGTTCACTAGAAACAGTCCACCCAGTGGAAGACCCCAACATTGGACAACCCCACCTGTCTGTAGACGGTATATTGACCAGCGTTTGGACTGGTTGAGCAATGGATGCATGCATCAGTTTGCATTTCTTAGTGAAGAAAGTATTGATCTGATGTGTAGAGTTCTTTCCTATTCTTATTAATTCAAGAGGGTTCTGGAAGCTTCTCTGTGTGAAAGAAACAAGCAGAAGGTTCATGCTGCTTGGGTTATTCCTTCAGAGAAGCTGAGTAGAGCGGGCTTAAACTGGTTCTCTTATCTCTTCTGTCAAGGCCATGCTGACTATAAAAATAGGCCAGAAGGAGCCTAGGTTTCACTTTTTCTTTCTATCTCTTTTCCTTCTGGTGTGGTGTTCTGTACATAGTATACATAGCGTTAAAGGTTTAGACTTATTATAAATTATTGTAAGTTTAAGTTAAGTCTACTGCAAATGGATTTCTTATGGACAGTGCCAATCCTGAATGTATTGGATTTGTGACCATTATGCTCATTTGCCTTCAGAAGCAGCAAAGCTCTGCTGGGTGAAATACAGTTGGTCTACTTTTTGGGAATCCTGCAACGTGTTTAAGTTTTTACTCTGCTAACTATACACTGGAATCTGATCTGGATCAATATTGAGAAGAATTCTATGACACCATGTCCCTTGCCTACACAAAACCAATAAAGTTGTGACTCTTGGTTGTTATTTGGTTCCCCGTTTTCCATCCCCAGCTTCACTGTGCACAGGTGTGCAAACGCATCACCTAAATTTCCTAAGAAAGGAGTCTTATATGTTGTTAACTGCAACACGTGTGTCCAGGATCCCATCCTTCCCACTTCTCTCCACAAGGCCACTTACACCTCTACCATTTCATCACAGTGGGATATTTTCAAACCCCTAGCTTCAAACAAATGGTTCACTTTCCATAAGTGTTGAAGGCAAAGAGCGGACTTTCAAGCCAAATTCAAAGAGCACCATCTTGCAGGATGCTTTTAGCTTTTGCTGGTGTGTGGTCTTCAAAGGCTCAAATATCACTGCAGAGAAAATTGTTAGGAACCATTGGTAGGAAAGCAGCACTCGCAGCAGTGTGCACACTTGGGAGGGGGGATATTTTTGGACTTCTTTGTACTCGGTTGCAGAAATCTGGAAATTACACAGAGCTGGAGTTTTGGATGTGTAACTCTTGTAGAAACTATCAATGGCATGACACAATGGTGTTATTAAGGAAGGGCAATATCTCTAGTAGGGAACACATTGTGGGTAGCTGGTGGGTCTCAAACCCTCAGTGAGTTAGAGACTTCCCCTGCATGTTGTCAGGAGTGCGTACAGGAGCCAGGCCCTGTGACCAGTAGGGCTTCGCAGGACTGGGGCCTTCCTAAGTTTGTTCTGGAGAGGCAAGGCACGGCCGCACAGGTGAGGCCGCTTGGTAACTCACTGCACCTGGTGACAAGAGCCGGGAAGGGATATAAAGTCAGCATTTCCCATTGGCTCTTTGCCACAGCAACTCGTTTCCTGCCTTGCTGTGTTTGGCATCTTGCTTCCTGATCCTCGGACCTTGGCTTCTTGACTCCTTGCTTCTCGACACTCAGACCCTTGACTTTGTGACTCCTTGCTTCTCAACCCTTGACTTCATGACTCCCTGCTTCCTCACCCTCAGACTCCTGTCTTCTGGACTCTCGTTCCTTCTCCCAACCCTGCCATCTTGCCCCCGGTCCTGACATCCTCAACCGGTACTTTGATTGCCCATAGACCGGACTGTCACACATGTGAAGATAGACTCTGGTGGATTGAGTAGACAAACTAATAGTGGGCCCAACAGTTTCTGCACATGCTATAGAGGGAAGTGAGGGGCAGAGGGGCTCATCAACCTGGGAAGGTAGCCAACCTAGGAGAAGGAAAACTCTGATCCTAAACCTCCAATGCCTTGCAGGATGTCAGAAACGTGGCCCCCCAGAGCACAGCGGAAGAGTCAGCCTCATAAATTGAGTTGAGCGAGCAAGGGGCTGACTCTGCAGATGAGAGCTGTCTGTCAGAGTTTAGAGAGGACATCCCAGCTCCCCTCCTTTCAAGGGAAAGCACTGTTAGCTCCCAAGGAGAGGAAGAGTTGGAAGTTGGCCAAAGCATTGCCAGGCAACCAGCAGATAAGCCAGAGTCTGAAGCTGTGTCTTCTGAGGAAGAGACAGGGCAGCCGTTCAGTGCCCGTATGAGGAGATTGGAAAAGCTGAGAGAAGAACAGAAGGGAAGGAGAAGAAAAGCGGGATTTTGGTGTTCTTCCTGTTGGAGGAGGGATGATGAGTCAGACTGATCAACTACCATTAATGAAAACAGGCAGAATGCCGTGCTCTGGATGTGTTTTTCTTGTAAATAAACTTACATGAAACTGACAGAGAGTCCTTGCTGTTTATCAGGCCGCTTGCCTGCCAGAGATGTCTTTGGGAGAAGAAAAGGCTACTCAAATCTGGAGTGAAATAACTAGGATGGTTGGATGGCGTCTTGTATGTCTCCTTCCAGCAACTCCTGCCACCAAGTTGGTGCCAAATGTCTTGCTCTGCCCACATCAGGGAGGACTGCAATTTTATCATCAATGATGCTGTGCTGTCAAAGTTCAAAAAGAACGGGCCAAAATATGAGTCTTCCTAGGTTGCAATGCTCAACGGTATTCCAAGTTGAGCTGTTTCCTCCT